AGTGTTTAATCCATCCCTCTACTGAGATGATTTTATATTTGTCCCTTTCCTTATATGCATGGTACATAATTGTAGTCCATGTACAGTGTTCGAAATACCCGTCTGCAGTCTGCAATTTGCAGATAGATTTTCAAGATTGCAGAAGAAAAAATCTTACAATCTGCAATTTTGCAGAAGGAAAAAATAGGCTCCGGATTCAATAGTTTTCAATTAGCAAAGTAGCGGCGCTGTGAATAGATCGAAAACCTGCGCCGCACGAACCTGCCGGCGTTTTCCAGCAGACTGTAATGGTCCCATATAAGGGAATTTGGGGTCAAAGTTGAACGATTTTGACAAGGCGACGAAAGGCGACGATAACCAAATATGGGCACTCGCCATTTCCCGATGTTAGATTTCGTCTCCCGGGAGGACCCGACAACTGCCTCGGCAATTTTCGGCAGCTTTCGCTGAGCATTTCCCAGCAGGCAACACGGCAAAGGAAACATGGCTCCTCCGAAAAACCACACTCGCCTCGGCGTTAATTTGCCGAAATTTCGATGTTTTTCCTTGGTATTTTGCACGATTCAAGCAAAGAAAACAAGTTGATCACATGAACAAAAGAGAAATACAGCACTGGGAACCTAATGGTCCGTTTTGTTGGGCGGTAATTTCTCATTTCGAGTGAAAATTTACGTGCATCACATTGTGACCATTAGTGACCATATGGTGTAAAATCAGTGATTTTCGGCTCGATCCGAACCGAGCACGGCCCGTAGACTTGTCCTTTATGATTTCTAGATGACTATCGGTACCAAAATACGGGAAAATATTGTTGCAAAATGAGAGAGACGGAGACTAAGGTAAACTTCTTTTATTTGAAGGCTGGATTTTCATTTTCCTGGCAGGCTTCTTTGTATGTAGTGATCATCAGTTATTCAGTAACAACAAATATGGATTTTTGTTCTGGTCAAAAAAACCGGTCCACCGACGTTTCGTTTTTTTTGGACCGGACCGATAAAATTTTACGGTCCAAACATATTTAAAAGAGTGATATTTTGAAGAATTTGAGTAATGCTACAGATTTACAAAGCTATACCGTTATATATATATATGATGTAAAAATAGTCATTATTGGTTTCAGAAGGTTGTAATATGGGGGTTTGTGTATTTGCAGAAAGTATTTCCAAATTGCAGGACGAAATTTTGACTCTTCTGCAATATTGCAGAGCACTGAAAAAAAGTATTTCGACCACTGATGTATGACTATACAGATTATTCTGTACGAAGTTCTATATGCATCTTAGGATATTGGAGGGTGTCTAATTTTTGGCCTAGAGCCTATTTTTAACCTATCATATTTTCTATTTTATCAAAACTTCCATAGATAATACAAACTGCATGGAAATTATTTTTTCAGTATACTTATCAGTATACGTATACTGAGACATTTCTTAACGATACACATGCATACTAAGACCCTGATGCGGGTGTCACACCACTGTTTGTTGTTAACACCTCTCTCCTCTGCGGGCTGGCCCTGTCCCGGACGCTCCGACTCCTCCATGTTGTCATCCAGGCCCCAAAAGCCGCTGGACTCTGCCCCGCTTCTCGGGGAGGGACGGTACTGTATTCCCCCCATGCCGGTTACCATGGCAACAAGCTTGTAAATCTCACCCCCACCCACAAGATAGACTCTCCCGACCAGCTTGTTTCTGACTACCGCACGTTCTGCCACACGGCGTGGGAACGACTTTTTTGTTCATGACAGCCTTCGTTTCTTTCAGTCCATTGTAAATAAAGCTCTTTATGTTAAGTTTGCAAATTCATTATATATTCTAATTTCTATATACATGTACATACCAGCTGCAGGAACACAGTACAGAATAGTACATCTGCTATGATATACTTACTGCAACCTAGCTTATTTTTTATGTCAGATGATTCCATTTTAGTATTTTTGCATGGATTGCGCTTGAAATGTCTTCTCCTTGATTGTCACTGATGCTTTTATTTTAGATTAATATCTAAACGGTTAGGAGAGACATAACAGTTATGACTAATGCCACTCCCTCCCTCAAACTACACAGCACCTATCCAAAGTAGAAGGTTATTTCATACTTAGCATTTTCCCTTGGATATGTATACAGTGTTCGAAATACCCGTCTGCAGTCTGCAATTTGCAGATAGACTTTCAAGATTGCAGAAGAAAAAATCTTACAATCTGCAATTTTGCAGAAGGAAAAAATAGGCTCCGGATTCAATAGATTTCAATATTAGCAAAGTAGCGGCGCTGTGAATAGATTGAAAACCTGCGCCGCACGAACCTGCCGGCGTTTTCCAGCAGACTGTAATGGTCCCATATAAGGGAATTTGGGGTCAAAGTTGAGCGATTCCGACAAGGCGACGAAAGGCGGCGATAACCAAATATGGGCCCTCGGCATTTTCCGATGTTAGATTTCGTCACCCGGGAGGACCCGACAACTGCCTCGGCAATTTTCAGCAGTTTCCGCCGAGCATTTCCCAGCAGGCAACACGGCAAAGGAAACATGGCTTCTCCGAAGAAGCACACTCGCCTCGGCGATAATTTGCCGAAGTTTCGATGTTTTTCCTTGGTATTTTGCATGATTCAAGGAAAGAAAACAAGTTGATCACATGAACAAAAGAGAAATACAGCACTGGGAACCTAATGGTTCGTTTTGTTAGGCGGTAATTTCTCATTTGGAGTGAAAATTTACGTGCGTCACAATTTGTGACCATGTGGTGTAAAAATTACTAAAATATCAGTGATTTTCGGCTCGATCCGAACCAAACACGGCCCGTAAACTTGTGCTTTGTGATTTCTAGATGACTATCGGTACCGAAAAAACGGGATAATATTGTTGCAAAATGAGAGAGACGGAGACTAAGGTAAACTTCGTTTATTTGAAGGCTGGATTTTGATTTTCCTGGCAGGCTTCCTTGCATGTAGTGACCATCAGTAACAACAAGTATGGATTTTGTTCCGGCCCAAAAAACCGGTCCACCGACGTTTCGGTTTTTTGGACCGGACCGATAAAATTTTACGGTCCGAACATATTTAAAAGAGTGATATTTTGAAGAATTTGAGTAATGCTACAGATTTACAAAGCTATACCGTTTATATATATATGATGTAAAAATAGGCATTATTGGTTTCAGAAGGTTGTAATATGGGGGCTTGTGTATTTGCAGAAAGTATTTCCAAATTGCAGGACGAAATTTTGACTCTTCTGCAATATTGCAGAGCACTGAAAAAAGGTATTTCGACCACTGATGTATGACTATACAGATTATTCTGTACGAAGTTCTATATGCATCTTAGGATATTGGAGGGTGTCTAATTTTTGGCCTAGAGCCTATTTTTAACCTATCATATTTTCTATTTTATCAAAACTTCCATAGATAATACAAACTGCATGGAAATTATTTTTTCAGTATACTTATCAGTATACGTATACTGAGACATTTCTTAACGATACACATGCATACTAAGACCCTGATGCGGGTGTCACACCACTGTTTGTTGTTAACACCTCTCTCCTCTGCGGGCTGGCCCTGTCCCGGACGCTCCGACTCCTCCATGTTGTCATCCAGGCCCCAAAAGCCGCTGGACTCTGCCCCGCTTCTCGGGGAGGGACGGTACTGTATTCCCCCCATGCCGGTTACCATGGCAACAAGCTTGTAAATCTCACCCCCACCCACAAGATAGACTCTCCCGACCAGCTTGTTTCTGACTACCGCACGTTCTGCCACACGGCGTGGGAACGACTTTTTTGTTCATGACAGCCTTCGTTTCTTTCAGTACATTGTAAATAAAGCTCTTTATGTTAAGTTTGCAAATTCATTATATATTCTAATTTCTATATACATGTACATACCAGCTGCAGGAACACAGTACAGAATAGTACATCTGCTGTGATATACTTACTGCAACCTAGCTTATTTTTTATGTCAGATGATTCCATTTTAGTCTTTTTGCATGGATTGCGCTTGAAATATCTCCTCCTTGATTGTCACTGATGCTTTTATTTTAGATTATTATCTAAACTGTTAGGAGAGACATAACAGTTATGACTAATGCCACTCCCTCCCTCAAACTACATAGCACCTATCCAAAGTAGAAGGTTATTTCATACTTAGCATTTTCCCTTGGATATGTATATTATCACAAGTCAATCTAGCATTGATTTTCACACGAAATAAAATAGACTTAATAATTTCCGTGCTGAATGCTGAAAAGTATGTGTTCTATTATATTATGGGAAGCAACTGAGTTGTACATACAAGTATTAGTCATGTCTATTCTCCAAGCAGACTTCGAAAGGTATTTTCTTAATCTGCATAACTCTGTCCTTCTCTGACCTTTTGAAAGACCAAGTTTGTTAAACAACAACCAACCTTAACCGTTCTGCTTGGAGATGAAGTCATGTGCCCTTTTCCACAGCTAGAGGCATGACTCACTGTTACGTGTAGATAGGCAACTCTCACTGTTCCACTACCCTGTCATCTCAAAGTCAAATACTCCACCTGGTTATGGCATGGTCCATCCTGCATTCTTCAAGCCAACTTGCATGATCCCCTCAACTCAAACTAGAAGTTACTGTTTTGTATCCAATTGCAAGTTTGTGGGGTGCAGTTCTTATGAGCCAATTGACCACAGCAGTATGCATTCATATATCATATGGCCACATGAGTAGTTATATGATTACAAAGTACAACCTACTTTCCATGTCAACCTTTTTCTCTTTCAGGCCACACCAGTACATTTTGTTGGTTCTCAGACATATTTTAGTACGAAAAATTCAGAGAGCTGGGAGAAAACAACAACTTGCGTCTCACTACGGACGATCACTTTTAGACTAGAGCCATTTTCTTGTTGATTTTCATGAATATTATTTTGTATCCGAGAACCGACAGATTGAAATGGTATGGCCAAGCTGTAATGATAAATATCTGTTCTTGCTACCATGACTAATGCCCCCCTCCCCCATCTTGTTTTACAGAGGGCATACCTCAGGTCCATTACTTCGGCCCATGTGGCAAGTATAATGCAATGGTCCTGGAGCTGCTGGGACCCAGCCTGGAGGACCTCTTCGATCTCTGTGATAGGCAGTTCACGTTAAAGACTGTTCTCATCATAGCAATTCAGTTGGTGAGTAGTTTTACCTTCCTTTTCATTTAGCTCAGAATGCTTTCCCGCCAAATACCTGCGCCGGTACAGGAAACAGTTCAAAATTACCTGCATTGAACAAGTTTTATGCATTGTGTAGATCATTTGTACTGTATTTTCAATTCATCAAAAAAGAGATGGTAGAAAAAATGGATCACTATGGAAACTGTTTATGTTCCACTGAATGTAAGAGCTGGTGCACTATATGCAAAATACCCATGTATAATTGTATGCCCAAAACAAGTACTGGTGCAGGTCAGGTGCAGGTAGACATCAGAAATATTTTCAGCCCTGCTATTCGACTCTGTTTTCCTTACTTTCAGTGGAATCAAGTGGTGCAGTCGAGAACTAGAGAAGGAGTGTGTGTGTTAATGGCACTTCATTTGGTAGAGCATGATTTCATCTGAACCCTGGCACATGTTCAGCTTTTCAGCACACAGCTATCACCACTTTGTTCTACTAGAGATCACAAAAACAGACCCTTGTCTGTGATGTTGTCTCTGACTGTACAGAACCATCAGTACTTCTGTTCCAGTTCAGCTCCTTCAGCTCCTTTTCATACATTATGTATTTCATGAAATCAAGGACTTCCAGATGGTGCCATCTAATTGGCCCATGTTGTAATAAAACACAATGATGATTGGTGAGCAGACAGTTCTCTACCAATCAAAACCAACAAACTGCATGTAGGCTAAAGCAATGATACTTCAAGTCTTATAATATATGTATACCAGGAGCATGTCGGCAAAACATATTGCACCTGTGTGAAACCCGTAATGTATTGTGCATAGTACTTCGGCAGAACGTCTTATTTGCCTATACCCCCCGTCTGTATTTTCGAAATGTTATGTCAGAGAAGATGTCGTCTGCAACAGGCAAAATTTTAATGCAACGTTGACCAAACATCCAACAAAAATCGTGAAAAATAAGGGTTTTGCACAGGCTCAGTGCGTTCTGCCAATGTGCTTATACCAGCCAGGCTGTATCATTGCAGTGTCCTATCTCTCACCCATCTGCCTACAGTAACCCCCCCCCCCCACCACACACACGTACACCCCTCCTGTGCCTTGACTATAGATGTGCTGATATCAAAGGGATAATTAGATAGGGTGGAATGAGAGGTTTATTTGCCTGCAGTATAATCTGGTAATGCAGTACAGAGAGTATTACTTCACACCAGCAGACTTTATGTCCTCACTGTGATGAGTCTATTAATGACTTCATCCAACTGACTGACCTCAGTAAGGATGACCCTATGTTCACACCAGTAGATAGAGGAATGGATATTTTCTTCCATTCAAATACTGTATTCTTTCATCTAAGAAATATTTGGAGTCGCAGTGAATATACATTTATGATTTCTAAGTTGACTGTATAACTATTATTCTTGCTATATTGCTTTCAGAATGATTGGACATTACATAATTTTACACTTTCAACAATTATCAACTGAGAATCTCAGATAAAAACTACAAGTTTTCCAATGTTTTAGTTGTTTTCTACAAAATGGACTAACAAGTCTTAAGCAATGATGTTGTTTGTTTATTTGTTTGCCCCAGTCTCAAATGCAAGCTGTACATAAAATGCAAGTTGCACATGTACAATGATGATGATTGAATATGACCAAAATTAACATGCATGTTGTTATAGTGTCATCATGTGTGCTGATCCATGTATCAGCTTTTAATCCAGGCACAGCATTACAGGATTATCTCAGTTCCCTCCGCAAAGTATCTAATCCAGCACTGACCTCCATTACGATTACATACCCAGATTACACGGAAAAGAGATGTCATACGGATAAGGAACAAGTGACAACTATCAGCACAGTGAACGTTATTTGCATGTAGACGTTCAGTGGCCAGGTTGATGAAACCGATAACTTCTCCATAGCATAGTACCAAAGTAATTACCCAATGTTTTTTAATGACAAGTAGGCTTTGCATCTTGTACCTGTGCATGTAGTTAATACTGCTTGCCTGTGCATTACTTGTGGAAGCTGTGGAAAGGAGGACGGTTATTTAGCTAGAGATGTGTTCACAGCTCCTTATCGGCCAGCAAGCACATAATAATAATAAAGGTTGTACCAAAAAACATCCTTCTGGCTAGAGCTTTAGCTACAGCCAATATTTCTGTCATGGTGAACTTGTAAGATCTAACACTGTAACAAATTTAAATGTAAGGCTAAGTGGCGCAACCAGAGCAACTTTGCTGTTGTATATGGAGTTAGATAATATCTTCAGTAGCTGTGGAACCACCAGAGTGCTTCTTACAACCTTAACATACAGCCGGTGTGCTATGCAACTGGTATGCTTGGTTAACATGGTTAATGATTCCTTGTCAGTGACACAAACTTCCACAGTGCCTAACCAAGGCATGGTCCAATGCTAATAAAATGTCAGTGTTGTGAAGTTACTTCATGATACAACAACATGCTGCCTGGGGACCAGGGCCTAATGGTGAAATCAGGAAAAACAATCAAAACCATTGCCCCAAGTCTTTATCCTACATGTGTACTTCTGCAAAGCCTGATCTGACTTGTTAGGTTTGGTACAAGTGTTTACCTTAAAAGTCAGGCTATGTAATGGACAAGTATAGTCTTCTAATGCTGCCTCATTTAAGTACTGGTTGCTGCACATTGTGATAACTTTCCTTGTGTTTGCTGCTTGCAGGTCAGTCATGTTTTGAAGGTGCTCCTGTTAGTTGCAAGGCCTTATGGGATACTTGCATGCCCTCCTTTGCCCCTGCATACAATTATTATAATATTGTCTTCTCTCTGCTCCAACAGATAACAAGGATAGAGTACGTCCACTCCAAACACCTCATCTACAGGGATGTCAAACCGGAGAATTTCCTCATAGGACGACAGAACAACAAGAACCAAAACATCATCCACATTATTGACTTTGGGCTGGCCAAAGAGTACATTGACCCAGAGACTCACAAACACATCCCCTACCGGGAACACAAGAGTCTGACGGGGACGGCGAGATATATGAGCATCAATACTCATTTAGGCAAAGGTAAGTATGTTTGTAGGTTATACCTGAACTGTTAGCACTCATCTCATTTCATGAAATGAAGTCTCAAGGATCCAGCTACACTTTGCCTTTGATTTGTCAATTTTTAGATGTTTTCATTTCAAGCAAGAAAAATTGGATTGAAATCTGTGGATGTAGTTCACTGATACTGGAGTATTGACATACATGTGCACGAAGCTAAATATCAAACTCAATTTTTTCATTTTGAACTATCATGTAGCTATCTATGTAATGCATTGTACGTAATAAGATTGCATCTTCAGGTGAACTGAAAGCATGTGTTGCTGAATGTTGTTCCTCTTTCTTCACAGAGCAAAGTCGAAGAGATGACCTAGAAGCGTTAGGACACATGTTTATGTACTTCCTAAGAGGTAGTCTACCATGGCAGGGATTGAAAGTAAGTAACATTTTCCCTAATGATACACAGTACTAGTTGGCCACAACCATGAAAAGTGTTTGACACCTAAACAATATTAAAACTTCTGTCCTTTTGGAAAACATGAAGTCTTGTTTTAGCTTTCCTTCTGCAAAATTCAGAATACTTCTGTGAGAATGTCACTTCTAAAATGAGTTTACACTTTCTACTTTCTAGAGTCACAAACTTTGATTTTTCTAAAACTAAAGATATTTTATGTCTAACAGGCAGACACATTGAAGGAGCGTTACCAGAAGATAGGAGAAGTGAAGAGAGCCACCCCTATAGAGGTGCTGTGTGAGGGATACCCAGGTAAGAACCAACTACATACAAGAAAAAAACCTATATGCTTTCCAATTGCTTATGTGGCAGCAGTTTCGAAACAGTCCATTTTATACTGAATTTGCTCATATGACACAACATGCAGTCTTGATACAACAGTGTCAATAGAGATACAATAGGCCACATGCAAGTCTGGAAACCTTTTTGAGGCACTGTACATGTTATCATAGTACTTGCGTAGTTACAACTTGAACCTTGATGCAACACAGAGAATGGTTCTATTCTAGAGATTTCGACCAGTCGCTCTGGTCTTCTTGAATAGACTGACTCAATGAGACTTGTCTCGTTTTTCTCTGAAGTGTGACATCAACACTGGGTCACCGGGTCAGTCCACTGAGCAAGATCAGAGTAACTGGTCAAAAGCTCTATGTGAGAACCATTAATAGTGATGGATGGAAAATTTTAACCTTAAACATGCAAGAGACCTGCCCAGCTCCCAACCCCATGTGATGACACCAAGTCTGGAATAAAAACTATCTCCCCTCTGTACAGAAGAGATGGCCACGTACCTGCGCTATGTGCGGAGATTGGACTTCTTCGAGACGCCTGACTACGACTACTTGAGGAAACTGTTCCAGGACCTGATGGACAGGAAGGGCTGGAAGAACGACGGGGAGTTTGATTGGACAGGAAGGCAGCTGGTATTTAATTTGATCTTCAACTTTTTTTTTGTATTATGGGGAAAGGACGAGTTGTTATCAAAAGAAGTGGTGTGATGTCAGAAGATGTTAGTAAAAACAGCTTTAATGGTGTCTTAGCAAATAGATCGTATGTATATAGAATTTATTTCGTTGATATGTTTGATTGACATAACTTTCATTTTAATTTGATCTTAAGACAGTCTTCTCATGTGTATAATTGTTATCTGATGATACAATAAAGTTAAGAGTTTTTTTCTTTCCATGTCCTTGTTCTGCAAATGAGGCCACCCTTGTGACACATTTTGTATGAGCAATGAATAAGTGAAGAAATTTGTGTTTTGTTTTGACCCAGTCCACCCCTGTTGGCTCCATCCAGAGCCACACCAACGATGGACCCCTGTCACCCATCCAGCCGGAAATTGCACGCAGAGACAAACAAAGCAAGCCCAGAGAGGTACATCATCCAGTAGTGCAGCTCCAGTAGTGTCTGTATATACATAGATTTTCAGGACTCTTTAAAATAAGCTCCTTGTGTTTTGTGAGTGGTATGTTAGCTGTTTTATCTGAAGACCATTCTTGCATCATGTCTACACTGTCTTAACTTGTTGAAACTAACCTTCCAACCCATTGCTAGATGCACTTAAACTTATGCCAAAAAAAGATCATAATCTGTTATTACTGTAGCAAATGCATATATGCATGTATACCATTAGAAAGTTTGTTACGATTGAAAATGATATGTGTGAGAGGAACACTAGGACTTGGCCCTAAGTTTCCCTGGTAGTTGAGAACCATGTCATCCATTCTTTGATACTTTCTCAACAGAGAATGGGAGCATGGGAGCAACAGAGGACCAACTTGATGGTCCCCAACCCCGAGCTCCACGGCTCGGTCCAAGTGGTCAGCTCCACAAACGGGGAGCTGAACAATGATGACCCGACCGCCGGCCACTCCAACGCCCCCATCACCCAGCAGGCAGACGTGGAGGTGGTGGATGAGACCAAGTATGAGAAACTGTACTGGCCGTTCCTTTCCTTCCTTGTTCTCTTTCTGCTGTGTGTTTTTTGTGCATGCCCCGCGCTGTACAAGCCAAGGAGCTCCTCCAGTGGTCACTGTTCATCCGTATCTCAGACAGGTGAACGGTTGAAAGACACTAAGTAACAAATTCATACACAACTGAACTACCGGTATAATACAGAATGGTTCCATCTTGCTTTTTTTTTCTAAATTTGTCATTTGTCTACTCCATTGCAAATGCCTGCCACTCAGGAAGTGTAGGTGTCAAAATATGATGTCTTACGGGTGTAAGAAATGTGAAATAAAAGCACAGATATGTTGTAGTGGAAAAAGTGGAAGTAAATGACAATCACATGAAGATGTTGTTTCCCAATTGAAATAGTTCAGTTTTGGCGCAGAATAAACAGAAAATGGGTCACGGCTTAGAAAATTCTAGCAGAAAATCTTTCTTCTGAGGTTGTATGGAGAGCTCTTGGCTTGTGCAGCTCACAGAATGATTTTGTGCATGCTAGTACATGTAGGTTTGCCACTGTTTCTGTCTCCGTAATGATGCATGCTGCAAACACAACTTACAAGGGACAACCAATGCATACGGATCCAAAATCAATCACAATGAGAATTGAATATACAGTACATGTTACAGTAACGTTAGTTGCATGATGACTACTAATGATGATGTTGTCTTTAGAGTGGCTATATACAAAGCTAAATTTGCTATATAGATGAATTGTTTAATGCTCTATATGAGAGATATACCACTAGATAAATCAGACTTTAGATTGAAGTTAATACAGTACTGTATGTTGATTCTGGGACTCACATTGATTGAAGTGATTTCTACCACCTTCACTCATCTCTCTCACCATTGCTCCAGATCCCTAATTTATGTTTCTCTATTCCCTTTTCCTCCCTTCCATTGTGATCTTTCTTTTTGCAAACTGTTTGCCAACGTGTTGAACGAAATCATTTTCTGTCTTTGGCACACCTCTTGTGCTTACCCCTCTGGTTATTGTTGTTTATCTGCTTACGCACGTACATGCTTGCTTGTTGTGTTTCTGCCATGCTCTTGTCTCTGTACTGTCCCACCTGTATGTCCTGTCCTGTACTGTCCCACTCCTCCGCCCTTTTGTACCTGCCTAGCCTGTCTCCCAGCAACCCGTCAATCACTCTGTCCGTGTGCCTACCCCGTAGGTGCTGCTGCTTCTTCAAGCGGAGACGGAAGAAGGCCGGCACCCGCCGCAAATGACTGGTAGCCATCTACAGGCCCGACCAACGGAGCCTGATCTCCAACGAGCCCACGCAATAACATCTACACCGAGCCTTCCTAGTCCAACCACTCCACGCCATGTGATCTACCAGCCGTCTATCCCGTACAGCAGCCAACACAGCTGTAGTTCTAGTCCTCAGTTTGATGGAAGCATTACAGATTGTCTTTACACATTGCACAAATGTACTTTCAATAGAAAAATGCTACACTATGCCATAAGTCAGGTTCAACAGTGGCTGCTGTACAGGAGAGATATTACATACTGAATATTTAGACCTGAATGACAGCAATTTAGAAAATCCTGCACCAATGCCCAGAGGAATATTAGTGATGTTTGAGAACTATCCCCCTGCTCCCTGTGTGCTTCTAGTTCTCTAGTGTCTCTGTAGTCATTTAGTGGCCAAGGCAAGGTTCGGAGGAATTTCTAATGCTTCATAGTTTTTTTTATCATTTGTAAGGGATTGTGCAGAAATTTCTAAATTGCCTATGAAAGTAAGCCTACTAGCTTGAGTTGTTGGAGATCTGGTCCCCCCACCCCCTTCCCTACCATGTACAAATTACCTGCTGCTGTCTGCTAAAGGAGTGCTCTTGGAAGTTTGGAATTTTTCCACATGATTGTCAACCTTTCAAAGTATGCCTATCTCTGGATTGCATCGAGAATAAGATTTACAAAAGTGACTAAACCCCACATCCATCAATGCAGGGATACAGCTATGTTGTGCCCATGTAGCTTTGAAGGAAGGGCCTGTAGATTTTGAATACCTTCATTTGGAAAATTGTCTGAACTTCGAGGCAATCCATGGTACATGTAAATTTGATGTCAGTACATGTGTGTGTGTGCTGAAAAAACCCCATGGGTGCCGAGATTTGCAGATCTTTAAAGTCCTAGTGTACTAGGTGTAAATGTATATCACTTGTGGACAGCTTGATTTTTAACATTCCTCCTTGAGTTTTGGTCGCGGTTGAGTCGTGGGTGACAGCGTTTCCTGGACTGATTTTAGCCAACAAGTTGTCACGTCTGCGGACCAACCACGCAAAGTAGCGTAGCACTTTTTTGAAACCATTCAGGTTGTCTTTGTACCGTTAATGGTTTCGTCAAATGGAGAATAAATGTAGCTAGCTGCAGTGTCCACAATAGCATGTCACCATAGCCTTCATCTCTGTGGCTCCGAAAGTTGAACAACCCAAGTTACAGTACAGACACATGGGGATGAGAGGAACACGTACTAATGAAGCCATGTTCTACATGTGCGGTTAGCCGACACAGTGAACCCAGTTCTTGCAGCAAATTGATACTTTGCATAACTGCTAGATTTCTGCTTTCTGAAATGGAATGTAGTGGAAAAAATGAGGCAGCATGTGTTCCATGACAGAAGTTGGAAAGTGCTCTATTGCTAAAACAAGTACAAAGTGACCCGAGCGGTTGAGAAGTTGCAATATGATTACCAGTGCTGCAGGAATGTCAGTCAGACGTGGCTTCAAAGGTACACTGTATTCAACACAGTAGAGAATATGCCGCAGAAGTAGGCACCAGTTTTTTTGTCTTGTGGCATTAATGTTTGATCATTCCTCATGTAAACATTTGCTTTTTGAGTGGTGTCGAGACACCAGACTACCTAAAGGTCACAACATTGTTTGTGCCAGGACACACTTGTACAATACTGTAGCATGTTTAATTTTTAGTTTTTGTTTTCATTTTTTTGTTGCAAAACGAAGGACACTGTATAGGTGCAATCATTTGTACAGAACTTTTCAGTCAGCACCTATGGAAAATGTCGAGCTTGTTATAGTCTCTTTTCTCTTAAACAGATTTTTTGAGATTTTTCTTTCCAACCCAAGCAGAAAATAAGCATGTTCACTGTTGTTGCTGCTTGTGAGACCACCATGTGATCCTAAAGAACAAAATATGTGAAGAAAGCAAAAAATGTTTTGTCATTGACTATATGTGCCCATATAATCTGTTCCTATGTCCTTGTCAATCAGAAACCTCAGCTTCCAGTGACTGCTCAAATTGCTACCACCTTATTGTGTGCAGCTGATCTCAGAGCACGTTTTGATGTTTTTAACTATCTATGCCGACCCAATGGACGTGGAGATATGCTGCCAAAATCACATTGTACTACATGTAGGCACTGGGATGACAAGTCCAACAGAGAAGGGCTTGTAGTTGGCGCAGTGGCTGCCTTGGGAGGGAACTGATCATTTTAACTAGACAAAGTCGCATTGTTGACGACCAACACTTCAAATTCTGCGAACACTGACTTAACATTACAGCTATCTTTATCACAGACACCTAATGCCTACATACCATCTTTGACCAATATTTTGTGACTGTTTGAAATAGCAACATTTGAATTTTTCATGTGATGTCCTATCAGTCAAGTGGTATGCAGTACTGAACCTTTTACCAGTGGTGGTTTCTGTGAGGTTTTTCCTGTTGATCCTCCCATTTACTTGTTTCCAAAATGGTCTCCATTCTCAGTACCACCCAGGGGGTAGTTGACAGAAGTAACTTGTGCCTGTGTATAGCCAACAGAAGGGTGCTCTTCTTACAAGACACATTACATTGTACAGTATATGATGTATGTTGATGTAGCATTCTGCTGAGTTTCCTCACAGCTCTGTATATACAGTTGCAGGCTTGCCATTATGTAGGGTATGGGTACAACAGTCTCATGGTAACCCAAAGTTTGTTATCCTGCAAAAATATCCATGGTTGCCTTATATAATGATTCTGTGTTCATTCAAATTTCTCAGTTCTACATTTCATTATGTAGAATATATATTTTTTTAATTTGCCAGAACTGTTTCTGCCACAATTATTCACTGCCATTGGCTTAAGTCTGGTGTTTCAATACTATTTGCTTGGGAGCAACATTCAAAAATGTTAGTTCCTTGATGTGTCTATGAAGACTTGAATGTGGCCATGGATTTTTACAGGGGAAGTGTAAGGGAGTATGCAGGATTTTTTTATTACATATTTTTACCACTCCCGTAACATTTCACATACTGAAGTTGCACAACCACCGGAGGAAAGATTTAACCTGTGGTTGTTTTGCTGTATGAAAGCCTGTTGTTGCACCAAACCCTACATTATGGCAAGGCTGCACTGGAAGGATAAGACTTTTTTCCTGCACAGAGCTCATGAATGGGAATAACAGATAACAATTTTGTGAACTACAAATTTGTAGATGTGTCAAGTCAGAAGTGATACAAATCCAAGAGAAAATTCAACTGCAGCATCTTTGTATTTTGACAGACTGTTCTAGCGGAGTAGTCATTTTTCTCATGTACACTGAGCTGTGTGCAGACATGCATTTCTTGTGAGATGTATTCAAAGGCATTTAGCTTGTATCTGCCTGGCTTTTCAAGACTGGGATGTAGCAGTGATGAGACAGGAATACAAATTAGATAAATCAGTGCTTGTAACAACCAAAATTTGTTCCAAACTTTCATACCAAGTTCAGCGTTTTCAAAGATGTGATTACATTATGACCTGTTCCCCACTTGTGTCTCTATGATCTCAGAAAAGACTCATTGTAAATTTATCTGTAGAATTCTTTGCTCTCTACATGAAGTTTTTGTTTGAGCTATTCTTGGTCACAATAGTGTCATATTTTTTGTGCAGCTCCTTTTAGTGAATAAACAATGAGAAGATGGGACATTGTCACAGGTGTGGTTTTCATTTTGGAGCCTTTGTGAAAAGGACAAATGGGTTTCACCACGATGCATGCGGGCAGATCTAAACGGAGCTATTTTTAATTTCCTTTGAACAACCCACTCCCAGTACTAAAAATAAATCCTAACAAGAAGCCATAGGCGACAATTCTCCGTGAAGTATTATATATTGCAACAAAAAGAAGTAGCCATTGGCGACAATTCTCTGTGAAGTGTGATAAATCGAACAAAGAAAAATTGTTTAAACGCGCGTCGGCTCAGTCATCTTAAGACGCAACAACCAATCAGAGATGCGAGATGCCTACACGTGACGTGGGAAGGGCGCGCGATGCCCGAAATATTTTTGCGTCAATATTCAGCGCCGTGATTCAAGAGATTAATACCCGGAAACAATTTTTTTCTTGTTTTGAACGCATTAACATGCATTTACGCTAATCTAGCATGATTCAGGGTTAC